GCATAATCAGCACGTTCTCTTTGAACTTGATAGTGTAATGACCTGGCTGGGGTTGTAAGCCAGGTGCATTCTGGGTATTGTGTTATATGTGTTTCCCATCGTTCTGCTAGTTCCTATGTGCTGATTTGCGTGTTGTGTGAGTGTTATGTAAGCCACAGGGAAGGTGATGTGTGTTCTGTGGAGCGGGTTGAATTAGCATGGTTAACTGACACCGTGACTCTGTGTGGTAGGAGCGTGATAGAGGATCGTGTCTGTAGCGTTACAAAGCGTTGAAGAAAAGGCCTATAAAAGGTTTGCGTGAACTTCTACTGCCTCCTGCTGGTTGATGTGGGGCCTATAACCCTGCCGCTGGGACGCTCGTACTTGCTTGTCACCACATTCCATCCGGCCACAATAAGAGACCGGCCTTTATTTACCTCCGCTGACTCCGACACCGGCCAAAATTGGAGACCCGGCCTTTAATTGAATACCGGCCTGTATTAGAGGATTTATGGTATATATATATATATATATATATATATATATATATATATATATATATATATATATATATATATATATATATATATAGTGGTGGGCATAGATAAATTTTTTAAATCTAGATTAATCTCACTGTAATCTTGGAATTAATCTAGATTAAAATGGCTCATTCAAATTCTGCCAAAGGCATATGTGTGTGCTACCTAGATAATGAATAAAAGCAAGTCTTTGAGAATGGAGGCGTATTTCTTGTTTCAGTAATGCATCACGGACTGATAAAGCAGTTTTACTACGATAACTGATGATGAAAATAAATAATGATCAATAAGTATTTGTGTTTAATAGCTGTTTATTCAGTTCAACAAATTCTGCACTGTAGGTCTACAGAATAGGTCATGATTAACTATTTACAGTCAGTAGCATTTGGTCAGTCAGTCCAAGCTCTATTTCTCCTTCTTCCACCAGTCACTCAAGCAGACCAGCTTGTTCACATTGTCTGGTGACAAATAGATCTTCTCTTCTGCACAATATGGCCTGCTAAAGAAAAAAGTATATATATATATATATATATATATATATATATATATATATATATATATATATATATATATATATATATATATATATGTACACACACACACATACATACATACACACACACAAAAACTATCTGGCCTGGGGAGGGGGTTAAATTTCTGGGGTGCCCTTCCAATGCCCCCCTTTAGTTTGCTTGTAGGAACGCCTCTGGTGAATAGGAGCGAGAGCTGGAAATGATGCCACAGCTCACCTGTATGAGCAGAAGCCAACTGTTGCTGTTGTTGTTGCCTCTGAAAATGGCAAGGGGAGTTATCCTAGCTCAACTTTTCTAAATAAATATAAGAATTTATGAGTAAAAGGTTTATTATTACAGGTGAATTTGAGTCAAAGCCACATGAACAACGACCTGTAGAAACAATTCATCACTTTATCACAATAAACAGCTGCTAAAAGAGCTAAACTTAGTTGGAAACCGCACCTGTCTGAGAAAGTCTTGTCTCGGTTTTCTCACATCCGAGCGCTGCTTCGGCCGCGGACGGTGAAGTGTGGCCCGGGGAAAGCCCGGCTGGAAATGTCGGAGGTAAACAAAACAAAATAAAAAGAATGAAAGTCGGATTTATGGATTCAACTCTGCTGAAAGTACATAAATTATTTACTTGTCCCGCACAATGAGAAGGGAGAAGCGCTGCTGGTGGCGAAGGTGGGACTGTTCGGCTGCATGGGGAACATTAAACTCCGCGGGCCTGGCGTCCGTCCATACCGATGGTCCATAAGTACGATGATCCGCGCCGAGTATACATCTGCCCCAACCAGGTATCCATCCGCGCAATGTGAAAGTCATCATAGCTTACTTAGTATAGACCCAGATCCCAACCCAACTTTGAGAATAGATTAACGGCGTCATTTTTTTAAATCGCGCGATAAGAGTCTGGCTTTGCCGCAGCGCGTTAACGCCGATAACGGGCCACCCCTAATATATATATATATAGCCATGCCCTGATGTGGGGCAGGGGGGTGCGTCGACATGGTTGAGACATAGAAGGGGGTGCGCAGCTAAATAATGTCATGGTATGTGTCTTCCTCATGTGTCTCCTGATGTTCTCCATCCCTCTCTAGATTCCCTTCTGTGTCTCATAGCGCCCTCATGTGTCCTTATTCTGCGTCTCATTTATGTGTCTTCTGTTTGTAGGCCTTCATAGCATTCCCTCAGGTCCGGTGTTCATTTAGTCATCCTCAGCCCCCTCCAGTTGTAGCTCCAGCCTCTTGTTCCCCAGCTCAGTATATGTGTGTGTGTGTGAGTGTATGTTTGTGTATGTGTGTGTATGGGTGTGTGTGAGCCCTTCCCTCTGTCTTTAGATAATTGTTTAGTTTTGTGTTTTAGGTTTATTTGCCCTCCTCTGTTTCTGTCTTCCCATTTAGTTAAGTATATCCACCTGTCTTCCCTCCAGCCCTCACTCCACACACCTGCTGCCATTTTCCCTAATTACTCCTCCCTGTGTATAAGCCCTGTCTTGTCTCTGTCTTGTGTCGGTCCATTGTTGTAATTCTGTCAGTCTTGTTTTGGATTTTCGGATTACTAGTGTTCTTGGCCTTCTCGTGTCTCAAGTGTTTTTGTATCTCCAGATCGTTATCTGGACTTTTGGATTTTGGCTTCCAGCCTTTGGACTTCTTTTTGTTTTTTGGCTCACCTTAAAATAAAGGATTTTTATTTATTCAACTTCTGCCTCGTGTCATCCTGGGTTACTGCATTTTGGGTCCTACCAACCTCGAATCGTGACAAATAAGTTTGGGAACCGCTGCATAGAACATATGAGAATAGAAAACTTTTATCATCATCCGTGCACAAAAGGCATTGCTGTAAGCACTGCACAGACTACATATGAGGTTTTTAGTGCTGACTTCTGTCCAGTGGCTTCCTCTCATGGTTCCTGATAGTGTTCCACCCACAAATAAGGGACAACACTACAGATGCACATTTCCAGCAGTAACCAGACAAGATCAGACGGAACAAACACTCCCCCTACAGGATACTTCTTTATTCTGCAAACTTGGCTCTTTCAACTCATGAACAAAATTGCACTAATAAACGTATCAAACCTAAAACTACACAGTGTGTTTTGAATGATTCCTGCCTAAGTTGTCCACCACACTGACATCTTGGTTCTTTTGTTCCACAGATTCATGAACTGATCATACGGACTTCCGTATCTCGTGATGGTTCGTTGACTTAGCTGTTTTATTTTGTTTGTGTTGAAAATATCCGTCGGCTCCAGTTTGGTTCAAATCAGATCATTAAAGTTTGGTCGAGAGAAGCTGTGAGCTACACCCAGCATGTATGAAAAACCTGTAAAATAAAGCCCAGTTCAACCCAGCTATGGCAGGCCTTTTGTATATTTATTTGTTCATACCTGAGGAGTTTGTTGTGACTGTTACATAATGTATTCTCTTTAGTTTAACCTTTTTTTATTTTGCATCATTCAGATCAAATTAACTAAAACAAAGACTTGTTTCCTAATAAAAGTGGGAGGGAAACCTGTCCTGTGGAACGTTGTTTACAGTTCAGATCGGATTGAAGACAACAGAAAATGACTTCTTACATAATGAAGATGCTCGTTTGGGCCGTTATGTCCTGGTATCCTTAGGCAGGTGTTTTTCACTCTTCTGCACAACAAAAATATTCTGTTGCATTAAATCTGTACAGAACTATGGGTAGTACTCTGCATACGTAAGTACTCTTACCACAAGTTAACAACTAAATGAAATGAAACATTTTGTTGATCTGTGTTCCTCTACTAATATCTGAATACTTTTCACTTGCTTTGACCATCTAGTGACCATCCTGAGGAAGAGCTGCCTGCAAAGAGTTAGTCTGACATCTAACGGTGAGAAATGGTATCTGTTTGAAAATGAGACTGAACAGCTTAAAGGCCAGTTACAGAATCTAGTTTTTACTATTTAATAAATCTTAAATACAAGGAAAGGGTGCATTGGTTATTTTAATGATAGAAAAAGAAGCTTTGGTCCTGGACTCATTTGTTTTTAACAAAGTAAATTATATTTGGAAACAGGAAAATTAATAATCAAATGATTATAAAAATATATGGTATCGAAATTGAACAAGTACACACATGTACATTTTTAGGAATTACTACAGATGGAAAACTGAGTTGGAAGCAGCATATAGATGATATAAAGTTAAAAATATATATAAAAATATATATAGGACTTATGAGTAGAATGAGATTTGTTTTAGATATTAAATCCCTTCGGATACTTTATTTTTCCATATCTGAGCTACGGTGTTGAAAAATGGTGAAATAATTACAGAGCAAATATTTATCCTATATATTTAATTCAAAAAAAGGCAGTTCCAATCATTTATCATGCTAACTCTCAAGCACCAACAAACGCCATCTTTATCCATTTAAAAATTCTACATTTTCACGATATTGTGGACCTGCATACTCTAGCTGTAGTATATCATGCAAACCTTCCACCTTATCTCCAAAGGACGTTTGAACATAGGGACAGCGGATATGGTCTAAGAGAACCTGGGATTTTCAAAATAAAGAAAGCTGGAGCCAATAGGAACAGATATATTTCAGTAACAGGGGTGAGTTTATGGAATAGCCTTAATTCAAAAAGTGTTTTAAAAATAAGTCTTTACTAAGCACAACAAAATGAGGTTTGTCACACGTTTATACCTCTTGATTTTGTTGAATCTAAGATGATGTACGTAATAACTGTGTTATTAACTCTTGATATTTATGACACTGTTGATTTCTTGTAATGGGTTAATGGGTAGGACTAAATAAGTCTAACTTTAGCCTATACCATTTCGGTCTTAAATGATATCTAAAGAAACGGTCTCATTTACAAGAGGAAGTTGGAATTGTGTTAATGATTATGATCATTAGATAATTATATTCTTTTTCATGTGTCTTATAAGCATTGTTATGATGACTGGATAAAATAAAGAAATCTCAAATTGTGAACAGTTTATTTACTTTTCCTTGCACACCAACACAAAATACAAGATCATAATGTCAAATTAAAAACAACTAAATCCTACAATCTGTTGATGAAATGCTGTGTCCTGTTGTCCAAGGGTTGGTCCCAGTCAGAGCACGTAAACAACCTTCTCTCAGCCTCCACTAACATGATTCCAGCTGAGTGTAGGATGTTTACAGGACCTGAGTCTGGACAAAAGATTACAGGCAGCTGAAGAAAAACGCCACAGCTTAAAAAGACACACCCAGAGGCTAACTGAGAATGACTTTCATCTCAAATCATCATAAAAGTAAAAACAAATGACTTAGTGCTCTGAGGCAGTTGGCAGTGGCAAACATCCGACTGAAAGCTCTGAGGATAGACAGCTTCCAGTCGGGGATGTTTACAGCCCCAAACTACCGGTTCACGACCTCAATCTGGGTTTCTCACACACACGCACGCACGCACACACACACACACACACACACCAGAGTACGTACATTTGTGGCCTGACGTTTACTTACGCTCATCAGGGGTATGAATTTAGTTTCAATCTGAGAAAATCGGACTTTAAAAATCATTCAAGTGGCGCCCACCCAGGAAAATGTTTCAACCAATCATTAAAAGTTAAACTGATACCATATTGATACCTGCGGTGTGTAGGCACACCTCTGATTGTGACTGTTTTCTGTTGTTTTACAAGTCAGCGAGGTACAAGGCCAGTTTTAATCTAATATCACAGCAGCTATGCAGTTAGCAGTCATTAAAAGCTAAATTTACAAGTAAACAGAATCATGTAAACATGTCAGTCGGAATATTCTGATCCAATACAACTCAATCAGAATGAAATTCAATCAAATTTCATTCTGATTAAGAGGGGTGGTTTTGTCTGACTGTCATTGCGATTTACGTCCATGCACACCCCCTTTCAGACTGTGGGAGTAAAACAATGCCCACTGCACATATGTGCTACTTCATTTTATTGCCTTTGCAGAGGCTCAGGACAAGTCAAACATGTTGGGAGGTAAACAGAAGTAATCCTGCTCCCCTCTCCTGCGGGAAGGAGCAGTAGCGTTACGTACCACTGAGCCTGTAGCTTAGTTAAAGCGATCAGGAAGAACAAAAGCATACCGGTAAAAATAAAAAGGTCCAAAATGGTGGATTATGGTAAGTTAACAAAGTTAGAGAATAAGAAAATAGAATACGAGGTAGAAGGCGTGCAAACAAGATGGTGTTTGTTTACAATTTTTTTCCCAGGAAAGACAACTCTGCACGTGCTCTGAGTGAACGCTTGGTGCACGGACACTCACGGCGAGATCGGATCACTTCTGTTGGTGTCCGTGTAAACAGAGATTTGGAATTTCTGATCAACCGAGATTTTAATGGGATGGGGGAAATTTGGCACATGTAAACGTAGCTACTGATTACGACTAGTCGACCCAACCAGAATGAGACTAGATCTAGAACATAGGCAGGGATGGACCATCTCTCCAATAAATGGTGCGGCTCAGACCCATTCCCACTCTAAAGCCTCATTTACAGAGTGCTGAATGGTTACGGCTTCCGGACTGCGGATCACGCCATAACTATGTGTGTAGTGAAGAGCCAAGTTTGTCTTCTCCAGCTACCACTGACACTGAGAACCGATATCCCCGTCATTGAAGCTGTTATGGCAAATCTGCAAACAAGCTAGATTTTGAACTCAAACATAATCACAGAACACTCGCCCTCCCCTCGGGTATCTTCCCTGAAACGCTTCTGCCGGAACCGGACACCTGCCATGCCGGAGGAAACGAGATAGCGCTAAACACCAGTCACCGTTTTCTAGGTCCAAAACGTCTTTTGTTTTCCGTGACTTCAAATGGTGTTTTTCTTTTTAGGACTTCTTAAACTTGAAGTGGTAGCAGCCGGCTGTTTCTCTGTTTCTGACATCATCGAGCGGAGAACCTCTCACACCAGCGGTGTTCTGCTGCTAAATGCACAAGTGATGGTCCAATAGTTGCTTTCGGTTCAAAATGTGTTATTGGTGGAGGTTTTTAGACAAATGTGAGAAAACCACTTCATCAATTTTTTTTACCTCCACAATATAGTAAGGTTAGGAGGCATGAAAAAACACTTTAAGCCAAGTTGTTTTCCAAATTTGCAACTATCACAGAAAGATGCATCGCAGGTTTTATTTAGAAATATACCAGATGCACGTTGCTGCACCAAACCTAACCTCCTGCCTGGCTCTTGTAGTTTCTTCAACTCCGTGACAATCTGCATGATAGAAACCTTTCAGAAAGATCCCACAGCTCCGGATCGGAACCGCACCTGCTCAGATTGGAATCAATGAGTTTCGGTTTTTGCAAAAGCCGCACGAATTCTGATCTTCATCCGTTCCGCACTCGGTGTAAATGAGGCTTAAGGGTGGCCAATGGGCTTTTCAAATCACAGCTGCGTCTGGCTGATGGGCCATCAAGAATGTGGAATGCACATAATAGGATCAACATAGTCTTTAGGGAAAAGCTATCCAGCAAGAAAATAAGACAATAAGTTTATCAGTGTTCTTTCAAACTGTCAAACAGTTCCCCTTTTCCTTCATGAAACCAGATTATCACGACGACGAGACAATCAGGTGTGTTTTCACGCAGTCTCCTGGCATTTTGGGCAAAGTGCTTTCCTTTCTTATGAAAGATGTCGCACTTATCTCCAGATACACGGCAACTGTGACTTGTTTGGTAATGCAGAACGGCCTCTTTAAATAGCTTTTCTTTAACATCATCTGACAAACTAATTACAGAAGCTGCCAGAGACTGCTATTGACCATCTGTGGAGGGTGTCAGAACATAAACGACAGGAAAATAGCATGTCATTGAAAAAGAAGATAAAATACAGACTAAAATGATTGGGAGAAAACCCCTTTGGGAAAAGTCCATCTGCGCAGCACAGCTACTGGCTGCTGATGTAGAGCAGATCTGAAGTTACTCCAGCAGTTTATTCACCTAAAAGAAAGGGAAAAACCCAAACATTTAGAAAAGTAAAATTACAACAGCACAGCAAATAATGACTCATCAAACATATTATGAGGGTCACAGCAAATCTTTACGTGTCTAAAGGGGAACGAACTAACGTGAAGGAGATAAACAGAACTTGTGACGTTTAGGGATAAGTGCACAGCTCTGAAGTTTCCCAAACTAGCTTTCTGCATCCTGGATTTACTGCAAAAGTGTTGCGAAGTGTCTTTGAGCCTGAGTCTTGCCGTAATGCTGCACCGCAGCCCTGTTGTAGCGTGAGAAAAGCCCCTTTAAACAGCTGGGAGACAAACACCAACAGGCCAGCCGCGTCGAACGTCAGCAACATGGAAAAAAGCTGAATAAACAGCGAGGAGGGCTTAATAAGAAGTGCCAACAACCGCGAGGCAAACGGTATTTCTAGCGAGACGGTAGACATAACTTTGTGTTGGTGGACACCTCGCCAGGGCCAAAGGAAAAGACAAAGTAACTGTTAGCAACGGAGCTCCTGCTTATCTGAGCTACAGCTAGCCGCTGTTAGCTTCTCTGTGACCCTAACCTTCTGCTGTAACGCTTCCTTACCGACGGGAGAGGGGGGAACCCCGCTGCTGCTCAAAAACACCGCGTGAACATCCAACACTCGTGTTTAGTTCGAGCTTTTAGGTGAACATGGCGCATTCCGTGCTTTTCTGGCCAGCTTGATAAGTTTCCTTCCGTTTTTCATTCACTTGTCTTTATTTTGACCTTTAGTTACTTGACACCAACATTGACGTCACTGTCATGGCAACGGAGTCCCTCCCACAGCGAGCAGGGACGCAGCAATGTTAGTTTAGCACGAGGCACCTGACGGTGGGCTTCAGGTGACGTCAGGCCAAGAAATCTGGAGCGCCCTTAGAAATGTTGAGATATAAAAAAATTAAAAGAATATTAAAATACATTTCAGAGAAGAACATTTGTTAAAACCATACATTTCAACATTACATTTAAATTACCAAATACAAGAAAATGTACTATAATTAAAATTACCCTAATAAATAAATAAACAACACTTCACAAATACCTCGTTTTATATTTTGTTTCACTATTAAAAAACATATTACAATCAGTAGATTACTGTCAAATGAAGAAATGTTGCAACCTTAGTAATGTTCATGTCACACAGTGATCTGAAAATACAGTCTAAATTTTACTCACTGGTTCTGGTCTCAATGAACAAAAACCTGGCTGAAATGTGCAATTGCAGATTTCCACATTCGTCAGCTTCAGGCTTTTAAAGAATGGATTTAATGTTTGGACATTTGCAGTGGCGCCCCTGAGGGGTCTCCAGGGTGCAGCAGCATGCCCCAGCCCCCTCAAAAATTGTGGGGTTCCCTCCACCTTCAATAAATCATATTCACACGAAACATAGGTTCATAATCTGTAATTAGCACCAAAGGGAGTGGCACTCGATTTTTGCTGTGCCTTGTACAATGACAATAAAGCTCCATTCTATTCTATTCTATTCTATTCTATTCTATTCTATTCTATTCTATTCTATTCTATTCTATTCTATTCTAATAACCCAATAAATAATACATTATTTTTATATTGACAAAAATTCCCATCTCACCCTCCGCGGTTGGTCTCATCCTTCCAAGCTCGGGTTCTCTACCAGAGGTCTGGGACCTTGAGGGTTCTGTGCCGTCTCTTAGCTGTTCCCTAGAACTGCACTTTTCTGGACTGAGATGTCTGTTGTTTTTCCTGGAATCTTCTTTAGCCACTCCTCCAGTTTGGGGGTTGCTGACCTGAGTGCCCCGATGATCACCGCGACCACCGATGTCTTCACTCTCCAGGCTTTCTCAAGTTCTTCTTTGAGGCCCTGGTGGTGGTGTGCCCTTGAAGCTTCATGAAGTGCTGTTGGTGGATCAGGGGCCACAAAGAAGGGCCTCACACTGGCCTACACCTTGGGTCTTGTCTGGTGTGGTACATCTTGTCCTCTGTTGCTCTGGTGTTCAGGGCCTGTTCCTGTGCAGCCATGATGAATGCCTCTGTGCTGTCCTTCAGACCAGCTCTTTCTAGTCATTGGTAGGATTTCTTGATATCAGCTACTTCAGTTATCTGTCTGCGGTACATCCCATGTAGGGGTTTGTCCTGCAATGGCATTTCCATCGCCTCCTCCTCTGTTTGCCATTGTCGGAGACACTCATTGAGCACATCATGGGGCGACGGTGGCACAGGAGTTTAGTGCTCGCCCTGTAATCGGAAGGTTGCAGGTTCGAGCCCCGCTCAGTCTGTTGTTGTGTCCTTGGGCAAGACACTTAAGCCACCTTGCCTGCTGGTGGTGGTCGGAGGGACCGGTGGCGCCAGTGCTCGGCAGCCTCGCCTCTGTCAGTGCGCCCCAGGGCAGCTGTGGCTACATTGTAGCTCATCCCCACCAGTGTGTGAATGTGTGTGTGAATGGATGAATGACTGATTGTGTTGTAAAGCGCCTTGGGGGGTTCCAGGACTCTAGAAGGCGCTATATCAAATACAGGCCATTTACCATTTACATCATCTGTTGGGGCCTTATCCTTGATGTACTTATGGATCTTGGATGCTTCCTCCTGGACAGTGGCTCTCACACTCACTAATCCTCGGCCTCCTTCCTTACGGCTACTGTACAGTCTCAAGGTGCTGGATTTGGGATTGAACCCTCCATGCATGATTAGGAGCTTCCATGTCTAAACATCTGTGGTCTGTATTTCTTCCTTTGGCCAGTTTATTGTTCCTACAGGATATCTGATTACTGCCAGGGCGTAGCTGCTTATTGCCTGGATCTTGTTCTTGCCATTGAGCTGACTTCCTAAGACTTGCCTTACCCCCTGTAGGGGTTTGTGTTAATTATGTTTTCTCCTAATTTAATTAATCCCATTACCTCTGTGATTGGCCCATTATTCAGTGCCGTGAAATGAGATAAGAGCAGATTCATGTTGCATTGAATAAATAATCCTCCAAAGATTAGCTCATCTGAGCTCTTTTTGGTTGTGTGCACGGCTTTCTGTAGGTCAGCTAACATAAACAGTCAACAAACCATCTAGTGTGTGAGGAGGATGCTGTGGGACATTTTACCACTGCTGAGTAATTTAAATAACTGTGTTGGATGTGTGGTTTTTCTATGAAAAAGAATTAATGAGCGTACAATGTACGGCCACACGATAAAGTCTCCCAGAGTCACCACAAGGACCAATTTGGTGTGCCACCCTAAAATTTTCAATGGCCACCCCATGAAAAATTGTGGGGACACCACTGGTTGTATGAACATGCATTCCCTGTTTTAGATGAAAAAATACACTCATCCTTTAAAAGCAATCGCCATGCATAATTCACTTAACTTTAGTTAAATGCATCATGTTGGAAACTGCTTTGTGCATTATCCTCCACAAGAGGTCAGGCTTGACCCAAATATTCACCATCTCACCTTCCGCCTGTCCCCATTTTAACTGTGAACTCCCAGAACAGCTTCCAGAATGCTGAGCATTTCTTCAGTAACGTTTCATATTCAAACGTCCTCAAAATGTTGATAACTTCAAGTCATCCGTCTTTCGTCCCGTTGTAGCGTGCTCAGCTCAAGCAAGCTCAGCAAATGCAAATTTCTAAAATTCTTTTCAAATGTACGATAATAACGTCTTCATTAGGTTTCAGAAAGTGCCGCGTAGCAATCTGGAGGATTTCTCAATTATTCATATCTTAGGCATTTGTCATGAGAGGAGCATGCAAAGGAAATCCATCTATAACCTAACCTGGAAAATTGATTCCCTTGTCATTCTGTGTGGTCTGAAATTGCTCAGAGCTATTACGAGACAGACTGATTTTCTCTGTGCAGTGGAGTGGAACAGCTTCTGCTTTCTGGGAGATGTGAACAGATTCAAAAGGAACAATACTGCTAAAGTGGCACGTTGTCATGTGCGTTCAAACATGCACCCAAAACAAAACAAATGCATCATACCTGTTCGTGCATGCATCTACAAAATTAAAGAAGCATGCATGGTAAACGGCCTGTAATTGTACAGCAGCTTATTAGGGTTTTACAACCCCCCAAGGCTCTTCACAACACAGTCAGTCATTCACCCATTCACACACACATTTGCATGCTCATGATGATGAGCTACGATGTAGCCACAGCTGCCCTGTGGCACACTGACGGAAGCAAGACGGATGAACACTGGCGCAACCGGTCCCTCCGACCACCACCAGCAGGCAAGGTGGGGGTGGGCAGGACGCAGGGGCGCCTCCAGAAAAATTTGATAAGGGTGGCCAGACAGGGCCTAAGACATTTTTGGGCTGGCACACCAAATTGGTCTTTGTGGTAACTCTGGGAGAGTGTAGCCAGTGGCGATGCACTGCATTGCTCCTTTATTCATTTATATAAAAATAAACAGAACGTATCCAAAACTCTTAAGGAGCAAGTCACCCCTTAACAGAGTTTTACTCCAATCCCACTTCCTGTTTGAAAAAGGCAACAAACGCTGTTGCCTGGCAAACCAAGAGGGTGGAGCCACTAACAAACACACACACACACACACTGGCTCACAACGACATTGTGACATCATAATGTACCAGCTAATATCATAGTGTACCTCTTAGCCAATAGCAATGGCAGATTTAAATTCAAATGCAGTGCAGAGGTTTTACCTGAGGACGGCACAACACTGACAGTTTTAGGCAGAATATTTAAATCTGAACTAAGATGCACTATAGTGCCAAATGATTGACTACATGTGTCTACAGCACGATTAGACACACATTTAAATAGTTTATCAGAAAAAATAGTTGATTTGGGGGTGACTTGCTCTTTAACTCAAATATTACTAACACAAACATTTCAGTTATTTAAAATGTTATTTCAAAATGTATTTTAAAGTTAATTTATTTTTGTTTTTTCACCTGTTGCTGTGTTCACAAAAAACTATGGAAATAAAAACTTTATTTTAAAATGGTGACAAGTAGAAACATGTATTTTTTTTTACATTTTGATTGTTTCTTCATAAATTGTATAATTGTTATTGTGTTTTACATTTATGTCTTGAATAAATACGATTAATTTATCGTTTGAGTGAACTTTATAATGATTTATTAATGCATTTAAGCAATTTTCTAGGGGGTGGCCATGGCCACCCCTTGGGGGCACCATTGGCAGGAGGCTGTCTGCTTAGTAATGCATTACTTATTATTATTACTATTAACATTAGTATGAAACAGTTATTAATACTTTATTTAATAGTTTATTAATGCTTAATAATGCACTAAGTAACATTAATAAAGGACCCCAATTAAAGGTGAGAAAATGGTTCAGGAAATAAATAATAATTAAATAATATAACATACATATAATTTTATATAATTAAATAATATAACACATACAAGCAGCCAAAATGAGTTTTCTCTACAGCGCATCTGGGCTCTCCCGTAGAGATAGGATGAGAATGTCCATCATCCGGGAGGGGCTCAGAGTAGATCCGCTGCTCCAGAAGTTGCTCCATCATCTGGGTAGTATGTCTCCTGGGCGCCTTCCTGGTGAGGTTTTCTGGGCATGTCCAACAGGCCTAAGGGAAGACCCAGGACACCATGGAGGGACTACGTCTCTCGGCTGGACAGGGAACGCCTCGGAACCCCCTGGAAGAGCTGGCCCATGTGGCTGGGAAGAGGGAAGTCTGGGCCTCCCTGCTTAGGCTGCTGCCCCCACAACCCGACCTCGGTGTGAAAGAAGATGGATGGATAAGATAAATAATGATCTGGTAAATATATCAGTATTCAGCTCATCATTAAACACAGGGTTTTTTCTTTTACTAATCTTAAACCGACAAAACCTTTTTCCGGAATACAGTTTAAAA